GGGAAAGAGAAGCACACACAACACATTCATGAAGACAGAAAACAAATAGGACAGGTACCCTGTGCTTGACCGGAGTCTATTCACCCAACCCGCTCTAGGCCAGTCCTAGGCCTGACCTTGAGGACCACCCCTTTCTATACAACGCAGGTCGTACAGACCCCTGAACTGCTGCCCTCCTTCTTGTCCCAGCCACTTGGACCAGCCTCTGGTTCTCAAACCCTGGAAAAGGCTAGGCCGTACTGGATTCCAGCTTCAGGGGGCGAGGGCCCACTGGCCCTGCTACCCACCATGCCCTAGACTAGCAGCCCAGAGGAAGGAAAGGTGGTGCCGGGCTAGGCCAGACCAGGCACGTCACCTCCTCAGGGCAATGGAAATCTGCTCCCAGCCCGTCTAGGGCAGTGGACAAGGCTGACCTCAAGCTGACCAGAGTAACTGTACCGGTCAGAGCTCCTGGGACACAGAAGACAAGTATGAATGTTGCACATCCATACGTGTGCACATGAGTGTGTTTCAGCAAGGAAGGCAAGGTGGAGGACATGGCCTAAGGGGTGACACAAACAGAAACAGGAATGTATTTTCTAATTTTTCTACAGCATGTAAGTTGATAACAATTTTGTTGAAGGTGAAAAATAAAGCCCAGCAAGTCAAAACATCTCCAAGAGATGGGCCTTCAGAGACTGACATGCCCATCTCTTCTTTGTACAGAGGCAGAAACCGAGGACAATGAGGTCCCCTCCACTCCAGCCCTTCCTTGGCATTTGACTCCGTCTTACAGGCCACAGGGTGATGCCTACTAGACAGAGGAGCAAAGTGGGGCCTAGAAAGAAAGACCTTGTTCAAGCTCTTAGAGTGTGTGTGAAGATGGAGGGAGGCTCCCTCAGAAAGTCTGCCAGGCAACCAAGAGGTGACAGACTGAGGTCCAGGAAAGCAAGAGTGAGTAGAGATCAGCTGAGGCCCCTGGTAGGTCTGGGTTCTGCTCCCTTAAACCGACACCTGAGGAGCAGAGGATGCCCCTTCCATGAAACTCTCTCCACATGCACCTGCCCAGCTTTGGGGCAGCCCCTGCTGCCCACCCATACAAAGCACCACCTGCTGCCAGTCAAGACTGGTGGGGGTGGTTTTGGACTAGGCCCTCCTTGAGATGGAGATCCTACCAAGGTCCACCCCACATAAGCCTTGAAGGATGAATGAAGG